GCCATAAAAAGGTAATGGGACTGTGCTGGCCAGCATCAGAAAGAAATGAAATGTTGACAATGAAACCAAAATTACACATTAGAAGATGAGGCAGAACCAGATTCCTTCCCAGTCATGCAGATCTGCACAGCAATACAACAGGGAGGTTCTTTTGTCCAACTAGCCAGACCAAGAAAGAGCTTAGTCCTCCACTGGCTCCTAAATGGTGGCATCAGAGTCCTAATAGCACAGGTAGTCCCCACTAAGCCAAGTTACAAAAAGAAAGCCCCACTTGTCATTGTGCTGTATTCTGTGAATCCTTAAAAGCCGGTGACCAGAGTCTGAAGTTTACATGCAAACAAGACAAACATCAATTTACTGGCACACCACTGCTATGCATTTTCAGTACAAGTCTGTTGTTTAATATCTGCAGTTTCACTTCTAAATTGCAATAGAGTGCATTAGCTATCCATTACAACACCACATAGCTAAGAACAAATAAAAAGGAATTATGATAACTACTAGATAAACATGTTACATATACATATACATATACATATACATATACATACTAATTATATTACTACAAAATCAATAATTGGGTGAGTATATATACTAGGAAAAGGTCAAAGTACTGCTTATATTGCCTTATTCCCATGATCCTAAGGATGAGAAAACACAACAGGTAGGAAGAACATATCAGGATATTGCATTTACCTGCAGTGCCTCATGTGCAGTAAGAGAAGTAAATTTGTGAGTCCCTCTGTGACCACTGAAAATGTTCCTTGTGAAACCACCACATCATCAAACATGCCTAGGTCAGAGGTGTGGGGGCTACAGAAACAAAGAATTTACACCAAGGCATGTCTGAACCTGAGAGAGAAGCAAAAATGCCATGAGATTTCTGGCAGATTTGTAGGAGGATCAGAAAGAGCTTCCCCTCTCACCCCACAAAGGTATTGTCTTTCAATATGGGACAGCACATGGATGTCAGCAGCATCTGACTATACAAAATTAAGAAATTTTTCCTTTTACACTTTGTTTGGATGCTCCATCTGCGGCAGTGGAACAGGGGAGAAATAAAAACTGCTGAATAACATAGTCCTTAATATTGCAGGCACTAATAATAGGATTAGAGAGAGAATAAAATCATATCCTCTTGGATTTGGAACATTTGGAGGAAGCCAGCTTCTGACTCACTCTCCCAATAAGTTGAGATGAGGCATGTCACGGTGCTGACCTTCTGAAGGAGGATCAGCCCAGCAGCCACAACTGCCCAGGTGGTTTCAGCCCATTCCCTCCTGGAGCAGTGTTAGCAGAGGTCATGCTACATCACAGGCCCCGAGGTTCTTGCAGCATTTCAGGCACTACCAGCATGCAGAGGAGGGAACTGGGTCCAAAGGAGACCAGAAGAAACACACACAAAGTGAGACACTGCACTGTTTGTGCCCCTGGACAAACTTCTGTCAGAGCTGTGCTGGAGGGAAGGCACAACTTCTGAAGCACACTCAGATTGTCTCACCAGTGGGGAAAGAAGGTTTCAAACCATGAGCAAGGAAAGTGATGGACCCCAGGGGTTACAGAGCAGAGACGCCAAAGCTTACACAACCACCTGAGCCAGTAGACAGGAAGGAATTAAAACCATCCCAAATGCTGATGGGCTGTCTGCTCAGTGGACACAAAGGTTCCCATTGCATCATCATGGGTATCATTTAGACCTAAGAGAACTTGCCAAGACCAGTCTGACTCTGCAAGAAGAAGAAAACTGGCAAAAATGGTTATTTCTGTATCAAGTTGGGTACATTATTTCAAGGGAACCAAACGGAGAGAGCAGTGTTCAGTTGCTAATGTAAAGATCCCATCGTCCCCCTCCTCACTGGGAACACTTTTCCATGGTTGTGTCTGTCTTATGAAACAGTGAACCTAGCCAATCACAGTAGACTGTAAAGGAAGAAAATATAATATTGCAAGAAGGAAAATATCAGAGAGTGATAATTGAATAGAATAATAAACATCAGTGTACACATAGGCTCAAAATAAAATTAATATTATTGTTAAGCTAAAGGCAAGGTACAACATTCCTCTTCAAGTCATCTTTTGCTTCAGCTTACTACAGGGCAGGATCTGGAAAAAAACATCTTCTTTATTAAGAAAAAACAACCTAACAAAATCAACAACAACAAAAAAACAAACAAAAAAACCCAATAACAACAAAAAACACCCAAACCCTGGCTACAGCATTTCCACAATTCCTGCCTCAACCTGTTGGCAGATGTTGACTTTAGAACAGCAAACTACTGTATAAGTCTTCTTTTGTTCTGAGCTCTGAGAGTCACAATGGTGACTAATGAAAATTAGCAAGAAAGATTTTAAAAGATGCTTCATTATATCATGAGATATAATTTTTTTCCCCTTAGAATGGTGCTAGTGAACAATAAGTGAGCATTGAGGGAGCAGCTCTTAACAGCCATGCACAAAACAAAAGAAAGACTGTGTTCCCATCCATCACTAAACTCATAAAATCCAATACAAAAAACCATAAGGCAAAATGAAAATATCTCTCCTCAGCTTTTGAGGTTAAGGAATAGAAAGAACTGCAGGACTGGGGGACACTGAGAATTAAATACCGGATATCTGAGGTAGGGAACATCCTTGCTGTTTCCACTGATATCAGCCTCAGTGCCCTGACTTTCCATTAACAGCCCTCCATAGAGGATGTCTATGGCCAAGCAGTGCTCATGAAAACATCAAGCTTCCCTGCCTTACCCAGTGTCATTTCTAACAGAAGTTTTCAGCCCTTTAGCAATCAAAAGTCCATGTATGAATTCTGTCTTCTCCATAACCAGCTGCCCACCTCTAGCAGCAAAGCAGGACTGTGCAAGAATAGTTGGAGTGTTAATGTGCAATACCCAGAGCCCTCTGACCTTCAATCATCTGCTTGTGCTGCTGGGAGGGTTGCAGCTCTGCGCCTCACTGAGCTGTCCCTGGATTATGCACTGTACATCTCTGCAACACATGTACACAGGACTGTGGCTCTGTTACAGGTGTCTAAATGCCAGACACATTTATGTTTATGCTCTTTTTACAGGCATTTTGACAGACATTTTATTCTTTCTCTGTTACTACAAAGAAGTCTCAAGATTTAAATATTCTCTGAATTTGAAGCAAACAGCAAATCTCAGCAAAAAAATGCAGAAATACACCATGTAATGTGCCCAGACTCTTAAGGACTGTAGCCCTACAGTGATTTAGTTTAATTAATGTAAGTATCCAAAATCATCCCCTTCAGTTAAACTTGGTGTCTGTCAGCATTGTCATTACCATAGATCAAAGAGCCTCTTGAAGAGAAGACCTGTTGTGATGAGGTCAAGTTCCTCAAGAAATTATTTTTCAAATCGAAGCACTGATTTCAAATAGGTGTCTATATTTTCTTTTTCTAACCTTTACCTTATCAATTTCCCTTGGGATGGAAAATAATTCCCAGGTAATTTTTACAGCACTTCTGCGTAAGAACTGGACATGAGGTCCTGCCTACCCAAATTCCTTGTTCTGTAGCTTGCAGGAGGAGAATGTTTGTAAACATAGACAAAAGGTGGGTGCAATTCTGCCCTCTGCTCTATACCTATAAACTTAAACTATATTCCAGCTCCTGCAGATTTTAGGAAGATCTACAGACGTAGCAAAAAATGCAGGACTGGGACCAAAAACCATTCTGATTTTCAAATCAGATTGGACATGAGAGACAGGTGCCTCTTAACCTATGTACAAGGATATACATACATATATATATATATATATATATATATATATATATATATATATATGAATATATATACACACAAGTATACGAGTAATTGTGTTGGTTCATACACAGACTGTCCCCTTGTTTGCATTAGGAAGAATTACCAGCTACACACAAAGGATGATTTAAGGAGGACAAGGGACACCAGAGAGGAAGAACCGGGTTTTAGAGAAGGAGACAGAGACAGCAGCAGCATCAGATCTCTTTCTCCTTACTGCTGACAATAACAAACAAACAAACAAATAAAATAGTTATGTGGAAGTGGAAAGAGCTCTCTGCAGTCATTACACAGCAAACAGTCACAGCTTAAACACTTGGCTTAAACTTACTTCTTATTGTCCCTCCCTTCGTGCTCCTCAGACATATGCACTTATCCACATCTATTTGCCTGCACAAGGACACTCCACAGCTTTGTACCTCTTCTGTTTATAAAATGACAAGGACTGTCCTCATGTGCTTTTGGATCAGAACTATTCTTCCTACCTTTTGAAATGAATGCACTGCATGCTTTATCACAACAGATGAAGTGAGCATCTTTTACTGTGTGGCCATCAGACACACATCTTTAAGATAATTGTATTTTTATTTATTTCTTAGGAGGTGTAAATGTTTAAGAGCAGTATTTTTGCAATTCTATACATACATATATTCTCAGGTATGACTTCATTGATACCGTAATAATTTAGTGTGGTTTTAAAGCACTTAAGGTGAATCTGACAGTTGTGGACTACAGTGAGGTTTCTAGTCTTGTCTATTCATATACCTCTCTGCTTTACAGCTCTCTCCTGAATATGATGAGGGAGATTTATTTGTAGAGTGGATAGAAACAGAAGTTCATTGTCGCATATTTTTTTTTTCTTTAAGGGTTATTAATTACCACGTCAACCTTTGCTCCGCTGCTGCTGCCCACTTTTATTTTAGAAGCGCAGCCGTTCCCCACTCTGCTCACATTGGTTCCCCCCACCACCATCCCCTTTTCCAACAACCTTTTAGAACATTATGTATTATTCCTTATGTATCTGGGTGGAGGAGAAAGAGAGGGACAGTATGGCAGAGATGGGGAACATGAGCTGGAAAACACGCTTGCCTGGAATTGTCATCACGCTGCTGTTGGAAGGAGCAAGCCGGAAAACTCGCGGCCAACACTCGCACGCAAACACACGGCAGGCACACAGCACATCGATCCCGGGGAGTTTGTGAGCAGCCCCGCAGCTCTTACCTGGCTTGTCTGGGATCCCTCTGCAGTGCAGCTCCCGCAGCTCCCCGTGCCCCGTTCCCCCCGGAGCAGCGGGGCCGGGGCTGTGACCGGCTGCCGGTGCGGGCAGGGCTGGCAGCAGCTGGCTGCAGCCTCGGCTGCCGGGCTCTGGCTCCTGCCAGGGCTGCTGCTGCTGCTGCTGCTCCCGATGATGCCGAGGAGGAGGAGAGCCGAGTGAGGAGGAGGAGGATGCTGGCGGTGATGCTGTTGCCATGGTTACCCAACTCGGCGGCGGCACCGCTCAGAGCAACAGCTGCCCCAGCACCCAGATCTGCTCCAGCCCCTGGCTGCCGAGCAGCCCTCGGTGTACAGCGCAGGGACATCACCCCCGAGCCCCTCTCCACAGGGAAAGAGGCAGCCGGGAGGATGGAGGTCACTCCTTGGCACGGTTTTGGGGCTCTAGGAAAACAGATGGAGTGATGCATCCAAAGTGTTTGCATTCTGCACTTGTCGGCAGGGAGCTCAGGGCCCTGCAAAGGTCAAACACCAGCTTCCAGGAGAGAGAAGTTTCCTTTTTTAGAGGGGTTCTTGCATTTTTATAAAAAACTGAATAAAACAGCAAAGCTGGGGACTGGAACGACTTTCAAAGTTGCTGCTGTAATGCAATTTTAAACTTTTTAGTTTTTAAACTCAAGGCCAGCCCTCTGCCTTTAAATTGTGACTTAAAAATTACTGTCTTATCATGTAAAGGTTTCTTTGCATAGAGAAATAGCCCAAGAAGTGAGTTCCTTGTGTGAGAGAGAACTGCCTCTAGCCACTAAACAGTGAGAAAAAAACCTTCCAGAAAGGAACCCACTTACTCAGCACAGGACACTAATTCTTTCATGCATGAAGCAAACAAGCTGAACTTTGCCTTTGTCTAATGATCTGAAAATAAGAAAGGAAAAAGACCTCAGGTGAATGGACTGCCACAGGATCAAAATACAGAGTATTATCTGAGAGAGACATGAAATCAAGGTATTCAGCTGCCATTTATCTATCAAAGAGGTGTTACAGGGAAGGCATGTTGTGAGGCTCTCTTTTTGCACTGGAACATCACAAGACACAACAAGGTCACAACAATCAAATGTCACTTCCATCCTAAAATGTCAGTGCAAAGCAATGTAATGCTCATAAGCCATGACAGTTCTTTCAGGAGCTGGTACTGTTTGCAGGACATTGTGAAACCCTGTCTAGAAAATACTGAAAAAAAAAAAAAAAAGAAAAATCACTGGTGGAAACTTTCTAAAGGGATTTGCTTCCTGCTGCCAGATCTCTGCTTGCAACCTGAATGCTGCAGATTATATGAATCTATGAGCTTGAGGCACCAAGAAAATGAACTGGACGGTATTTCCTATTAAGGTATCAAACCTGGATAAATGGTTATAAAATATGGGAGCTTACAAAAAAAGATGGACATGGATTTTTTACAAGAGCAGATGACAGGACAAGGAGGAATGGCTTCAAACTGAAGAGAGTAGGTTTGGGTTAGATATTAGGGAAAAGTTCTTTGCTGTGAAGGTGGTGAGGCTCTGGAACAGGTTACCCAGAGAAGCTGTGGATGCATGAGCCCCAGAAGAGTTCAAAGCCAGGCTGAATGGAGCTTGGAGCACCCTGGTTTAGTGGAAGATGTCCCTGTCCCTTGCAGGGAGGCTGGGATGAAATGTTCTTTAAGGTCCCTTCAAGCCCAAGCAATTCTGTGATTTGATGGTGTGCTGTTGGCAGCATTTCTCAAGATATTCTAGAAGACAGTGTCTCCACACTGTGTTCATTTGCAGAGTCATAATCTGGTTCATATAAAATCATTTTCTATATATCTCATGACTGTGGAAGAAACTGGAACTACCTGACTGAGGAGGAAAAAGTACCAGCCAGCCTACACTGTCAGACCTCCTTGGAGTAACTTCTGATTTCACAGCCTCCAAGTATCTTATAAACCATATCCCTGAAGATTTTTTAATTAATCTTCTTTTTGGCACCAATTTTGATGTCTGCTCAGAGATATACAGAATAGCTTAGTCAAAGGGGCTTTCTAGTACTCTAAAAAGAAATAAGAAATATGTTATCTATTTTAATCTTTAAAAATGTAATGCATGTAAAATTAGACAAGATCCTGAAAACCATCTCAGGAGCTAAAAAATATTTGCTGCATGGGTGGCCCAGGAGATTCCCTGCTGTAATTTTGAATGCAGGGCAAGAAGATCTCATTGCAGTAATGATGGTGAGCACATCTAAATCACCTGTTCCATGACTAACCAGCTGACAGCAAAACCCATGGTTATTCTGAATAGATCCCTGAGACCACAGACATCTTATTTCTGCTAAATCAGGACGTGTACTGCAGAATGTACCTGCTGATGTGAGTGTAACCAGTTTGCAAGATTGTATTTTCTAAGTTTGCTTATTGGGGCTTTTTTGTTTGTTTTCTTTTGGAAGCTGCATCTCTGATTTCAAGAAGACACATGAGAATAGCAGGAGAGAGCTGTCCTTTATCTTCAGGTTCTTTGGCTCAGCGTGCCTATGTTATACCACTGAGCAATTGCCCACCTTAATTCTCTTGCTAGTTCGAATCTGCAACACTGAGGAAAAATCCACCTCAAACGAGATGCAGAGTCCACTAAAACAAATGGCTTTGATACCTCTCTGCCCTGCAGAGTGGGCATCTTCACCTGTGCCATGTGAGACAAATGTCTAACAAAGCACAGGGGTAAAAATAAAGAAAAAATAAAAGAAAAGTAAAATAGTTTTTCATTTTCCCTCAGTCATGCAAGAAGGTCCTGCATGGTGGGACTGCTGACTTGCATTGTTCACTGGGGAGAAAAGTGGTGTTACAGTATGTAAAGCAGTCTGATTTCATAAGTAGCTGTGATTCAATAAAGAAAGGACACATCACAGATGTATTTAACAGAGTTGAGAGCAAAGACTGCTCTTAAGCACAGCATTAATTTTTAAAGATAGAAGCTATGTCTTGCAGACCTGCTAAGGAATTACAGACCCCTCTGGGCATCTCAGATAGTACTAGGCACCTATGTTTAGTCATTTCTGTTATTGTTTTTGCTTTAAATACTAAAGACAGTAAAATCAACTCAGCCTAACACAGATCTCTAAAGCAAATCAGGTACCTTCTCACTTATGCCTCATTTTCTCTCCCTGTAGCTAGGAAAACACGAGGGATCACTTAATCTACAACACCCTGAGGCAAAGGTAAATCCCATCCCTAACTCCAGTTCAGAACTATCCCACCAAACCACCCATCTGAGCCCTGACGCCTGTCAACGAAGTTTTAAATCCAAACATATCTTGTGGAAATGTCTCTTAAATGCCATCTTAGCCCCACAGCAGACTGAGGTTTCAGCAGTGAGGATGCCTCAGTGCCTGCTTAGCTGCTGAATGTTCCAGACTGGCTGCAATCCCTATGGCAGACATCCTTGGACATGCTTAGTGTCCTATATCCCGTCATAGGCAGAAAAAATTATATTCTGGATTCTTTGCGTGGAGCCTTTGGGTTATTTAATAATAACCTGAAAGAAAAAAAAATCACTGGTGAAAATTTTCTAAAGGGATTTGCTTCCTGAAAGAAATATTCCTGTAGCAGGATAACTAATAGATGTTCACTGGAGCATCCCAGTCCATGCTGCAGGGCACACAGTTGGGCTGGTAAACATTTCTACAGGTTATAGTCTCCACTTCAGTCTGTTACTCTATGCTACCAGTGCTGTGTAATAGCAATTGTACAAATACTAGGAGTGGGGTTAAATTAAAAAGTTTTAAAATAATTGAAATAAGCTAAGAACTACAAACTTCTTACTGCCTATTTATGCCTGATCAAATTGGTGACCTTCTATGACAGGGCTGAAGTGTTGGTGGATGGGCCAGAGTGACTGACATCACCCACCTGGACTTCTGCAGAGTATTTGACACTGTCCACACAGCATCCTTGTCTCCATATTGCAGAGACACTGATTTGATGGGTGGACCACTTAGAAAAGGAACTAGCTGGATGATGCACACAAAGAGTTGTGGCCAACAGCAACTTTTCCACATGGAAACCAATGATGGGTGGAGTCCTCAGGGGTCAGGACTGGGGCTGATGCTGTTCAACAGCTTGGTCAGTGACATGGACGGTGGGATGGAGGCATCTTCAGCAAATTCACTCACCACACCAAGCTCTGTGGTGCAGCCACAGGATGGAGGGAAGGGAAAGGAAAGATCCAGAGGGACCTGAACAGGCTGGAGAGGTAGCACTGTGCAAACCTCATGAAGTTCAACAAAGTAAAATAAAAGGTCCTGCACCTGGGTTATGGCAATCCCAAACACATCAACACATTGTTGTGTTGTGAGAAGTGATTCAGAGCAGCCCTGAGGAGAAGAACTTAGGGGTGATGGCTGATGAAAAACCAACAGAATCCTGAGCAGCATCCAAAGGACGTTGCCTTTGGATGTCCGTGGCCATCAGGTCAAAGGACATGATTCATCCCCTCTACAACGCTCCTCTGAGATCCCACCTGGAGTGCTGAGTACAGTTCTTGTGCTCCCAGCATAAGAAGGACATGGAATAGTTGGAGCAAGTCCAGAGGAGGCCACAAAGTTCACAGGAGGACTGGAGCACCTCTGCTATGAAGACAGGCTGAGGAAGTTGGGGCTGTTCAACCTGAAGAAAAGGTCATGTGGAGAATCCAAAGCAATCTTCCATTACATGAAGAGGGCCTACAAGAAGAAGAACTCTTTGCCAGGAACTGTCGTGCTAGGACAATGAGTAATGGGTATAAAGAGAGCAAATCTAGGTTAGATATTAGGAAGAAATTCCTTGTTGTGAGGGTGGTCAGACACTGGACCAAGTTGCTCAGGGAGGTTGTGGATGCTCCAACCCTCGCAACATTCAGAGCCAGGTGGGATAAGGCCTTGAGCAACCTGGCCTAGTGGGAGATGTCCCTGGCATGGTAGAGGCATTGGGACCAGATGATCTTTAAGATCCTTTCCAACTCATTAACATTCCATGATTCTGTGACTCCTCTGACACCCCAATATCAGCACATAAAACCGTACATGATGAGGCACAAGCTTATGACCTAAACACACTGGGCAAGGAAGTGAATGTGTGTCATGTCAAGGAAAGACCACAACCCTCAGCTTCCAGCTGGAGCACACAAGTGGTTGTGGGCAGAGATCTCATCCTGGCTGTAACAGCTTTCCTCGAGCCCTGGGACACAGCTTGTGCAGGAAACTCTGGGAAAGCTCCTCGTGGGTGTGTGACAGGCCACACCATGGCTGGGGAGAAGAAGGAAGGGCTATAAATGTGTGCTCCAGAACAGCAGCAGGAAACACAGCAGCTCTGTAGGTAGTGGGCAAAGTTAAGCTTCTCTTCTAGTGAACTGAGAAGCTGAATCTACCTTTTTATTGCAA